ATGGCCTCCAACCTAATAGCGATGGCCTCCAACCTACTAGCCATGGCCTCCAACCTCATAGCGATGGCCTTTAACCTACTAGCCATGGCCTCCAACCTACTAGCCATGGCCTCCAACCTACGAGCCATGGCCTCCAACCTATAGCGATGGCCTCCACCTAGAAGCGATAGCCTCCAGCCTAATAGCGATGGCCTCCAACCTACTAGCCATGGCCTCCAACCTTATAGCGATGGCCTCCAACCTACTAGCCATGGCCTCCAACCTACTAGCCATGGCCTCCAACCCAATAGCGATGGCCTCCATGCAACCTGCTAGCGATGGCCTCCAACCTAATAGCGATGGCCTCCAACCTAGAAGTGATGGTCTCCAACCTAATAGCGATGGCCTATAATGTACTAGCGATGGCCTCCAACCTAATAGTGATGGCCTCCAACCTGATAGCGATGGCCTCCAACCTACTAGCCATGCTCTCCAACCTAATAGCGATGGCCTCCAACCTACTAGCCATGGCCTCCAACCTAATAGCGATGGCCTCCAACCTGCTAGCGATGGCCTCCAACTAAATAGCCATGGCCTCCAACCTACTAGCCATGGTCTCCAACCTAATAGCGATGGCCTCCAACCTACTAGCCATGGCCTCCAATTTAATAGCGATGGCCTCCAACCTGCTAGCGATGGCCTCCAACCTAATAGCGATCGCCTCCAACCTAATAGCGATGGCCTCCAACCTAATAACGATGGCCTCCAACTTACAAGCCATGGCCTCCAACCTACTAGCCATGGCCTCCAACCCAATAGCGATGGCCTCCAACCTAATAGCGATGGCCTCCAACCTAATAGCGATGGCCTCCAACCTACTATGGCCTCCAACCTAATAGCAATGGCCTCCAACCTACTAGCCATGGCCTCCAACCTAATAGCGTTGGCCTCCAACCTAGAAGCGATGGCCTCCAACCTAATAGCGATGGCCTCCAACCTACTAGCGATGGCCTCCTACCTAATAGCGATGGCCTCCAACCTGATAGCGATGGCCTCCAACCTACTAGCTATGGCCTCCAACCTAATAGCCCTGGCCTCCAACCTAGAAGCGATAGCCTCCAACCTAATAGCGATGGCCTCCCACCTGCTAGCGATGGCCTCCAACCTAATAGCGATGGCCTCCAATCTAATAGCGATGGCCTCCAACCTACTAGCTATGGCCTCCAACCTACTAGCGATGGCCTCCAACCTTCTAGTGAAGGTCATGGCCAAGGCTTGGAGTCCATAATTTCAAGGTATACAGTATACAGTGATGATAGTGACACTCAGAATGGTTAGTTAGGTGGAAGAATGCGCCAGGAAGGATTGGTGTACCCATGGCCCATGGCCCGATTGCCACATGTTTGTCGTGTTCCTGAGGTATGTGATGAACTACGTGCCAAGCTCAATCATTGGACTGAACGGTCGTCCCTTGGGTCGTGCACTGAAGGTCGTCCATGTACTCCGCCTGCCACATCGCTGCAAGCAAGCTCGAGAACCCATGAAGGAGCCTTGTTTTCAACCTGTGGAGGTGAGTCAAAGCCCACGACTCACGCCACGACTCACGGTCCTCCTCTTCGAACCGTGTGACATTCAACAATTGTCCTTTCCAATTGTTGGTTCGGGAATTGCTTTTCAGCTGTTCAATCTTTGCAGCATGGGAGTTCCAGGCGCGAGCTGTGGGGCCTTTACCTGACATGCAAAAGGGCTTGGTCGCTGTGCCCATACAAAGGAGCAGAGCATTTCTGAAGAACGAAGAGGAAGTCTGCGTGGTTCAGACGCTAGTAGTAGCTCCTGGCATCGCTACGAACGGAGCAAGGATGCTACTATTACGTTGTTACGCATTGCAATATCTTTCCAGGAGTGCTGAGGAGGCGGAGAGTGACCAGTGCCTCGTTGACGAACTTGTTACGAACTTGTCAAACGTCAAACATCGATTTGTGCGGATGGATTTCCCCCAGAAGAAGCCTGGAAGGTACAAGTTGTGGCCTTTGCTTCCATGTGAGTTGCAGCAGTTAGCAGAGCCTTGTGCACAGCGCTTTGTTGTTGGGATCTTAGAGTGAGAATGTGACCAGGCTTTGCAGGTCCGACGCTGCAAACGAACTCCGATTGGACTCGAAAGACATCAATAATAAGTACACTGTGACTACATAGTGCGACTGCTTTGCTTAGGAGTTTGTAAAGCGAACTCAAGGTGCCTCTGACCTTGAATTGGAGCAGCTGGGATGCACCATTTCTAGTGCCCACCGTCCATAGTTGTGGGGTCTTGCAAGAATGGGCAGCTATTGGGCCCTTACGCCTCACTATATAGGTCAGAATTTGTCATCCAAGGATCCCACCCGTCCTTCCTCTATCCGAGGCATGTGAAAGGAGACGTGCGCAGCTCTATAAAGGACTTGGCCCGGAAGGCACTGTGGAAGGACATCAAAGTGTCCATAGTTTTTTTGATTTCAACCATTTCAACACCTTTGCAGCTTCCTTCTTGCACACAACAACATTGACCACTTTCATTCAACGACAAAACTATGGATCTAATGACCTCCAACCTACTAATTAGCGATGGCCTCCAATGTAATATCAATGGCCTCCAACCTGATGGCAACGGCCTCCAACCTAGTACTAGTAGCGATGGCCTCCAACCTAAGAGCGATTGCCACCAACCTAAGAGCGATGGCCTTCAACCTAATAGCGATGAATGATGGCCTTCTACCTAATAGCGATGGCCGCCAACCTAATAGCGATGGCCTCCAACCTAATAGCGATGGTGTTTAAGCAGATCCCGTCATAGGTTCCCATTCGGGATCCGAAGCCTGCCAGGTTGCCACAAAACGTGAGCAGTTGGGCTTCGAAGCTGGAGTCACTGAGGAGAGCTGACTGACGCATTGCAAGAGAGTCGTACGTAACTTATATATGTTGTTTTTTTAACTGGCGAGTTGTGTTGACTTGTTGCAAGCCAGAACTTGTAAACCATGTTTGTTACAAAGACAAGGCCGAGAGCTCAAAACAGAGAAACAACGCACATAGGAAAACCCAAAGGTTATAAGTGAAGTGACTGCAAAAATTACAAAGCCAAGACCAACTCTGTCAACGACTTGCAAATACTAGTTGATGTTACGTTCAACGATGTCAATGGAGGAAGGTGTCGTTCCTTCAACTGTTCGGTCCGTCCAAAACCCGTCGAAAAGGCGGGGCCCTGAGCAAGGAATCCGCGGAAGTTGCACGGAACCATTGGAGGCTTCAGGACTCCTTGGCTTTGATGGACTTGGGGAACTGCCCTCAGCTGTTTCAGCTTCTGAGGAACGGCCAAATCTACGGTTGACCTGTTTTATTGTCCGAACTCCAACATGAAATCGGCGTCACCTTTGAAGGGCAGCATGTTCACGCACCTCTTTTGCCACCAAAAACGGCTTGAGGCCGTGCCCCACTCTGTATCAACTCGATACCTTTGTCAACACCTGCGCTGTGAAGTACGTCCAGGCTGATCGAGTGGGTGATTTTTGCCAAGAGCGACAAGTACCTTGCATGCCTCCACTGCAACACATGTGTGATAATGTGTGTAACACGACATGTGTTTTAATGTTTGGGTTTCGCCAGTTCTTGCAAAACAACTCGCCATCATTCAGTTTGGTTCATTTGCTGAAGTCTTGCCTTGTGCAGGCCTTGCTGATGCCTGGTGAGGCTGTGGGTGCAGTGGCAGCGGGTAGCTGAGCGAGTAGGCCGTGTTCAGTCTAATTCACTGGTTCAGTTGCGGTAGTAGGTTGGAGGCCATCTCTAGGGCCGAAATAGGCCGAAATGTCGATTTGGTGTCCCAAAGCAGAGCCTCCCAAGGCACAGTCGATCGGAGAGCCGGCCACACAGATGACCCTCAAGACCTTTCACTTTGCAGGAGTAGCTGGAAGCTGAGAGAAGCTCGTTGTGTCGAAAGAGATCAAGCCGGAAGCTGATGGCAACGGCAACCGGCCGCAACCGGTACTTCAACTTCTTCACGCCTGGGTGCATCGAGTGTTCAACACAATGTGTCACTTGTTTCTTTCGTACTTAGGGGAATAATGCAATCTTCTCGTATGATCAATACATCTCAATACGGTGTCAACATGTCGTTGTTCTCGACTTTCTCCGGATCCAGCATTTTCTGAGGCCAGTATGAATGTCACGCTGGGGGTCCCAAGAATCAAGGACAGTGGCTGACATGAAGCAAGCAACACCAAGTGAAGACATGGAATTCGTTGGATCTTCAAACAGGTTATGATTCATGACAGTGCATGACGCTTAGCTTTGTGCTTTTTTTGGGTAAAGATTGGCATGAAAAGAGAGATTGAGGCGTGAAAAACATGTCCAGTGCATGACGCTTAGCTTCTTTTTCGAAAAGGAGATCATCAATGCCGCCAAGAACATCTCGACGCCGATCATCACCTGCACCCTGCAAGATGAGCAGAATGAGGTCTCGGCCCGGATCGTGAAGGGCCGAATCGAACGGACCAACTTGGGAGACATTTGTCGGGAGCCCCAGGAGGCTTACACATGACACGAGGTTCAACTAGAGAGGAAGACATGAGGAACATGGAGTCAACAAGGTGTTTAATCCCGCAGTTTCTTGGCCCAAGCTGTCCGTTGTCGTGAGCGAATACGAAGCTCATGCCATGGCAGATGCCAAGTATGATATCACTTTGAAGAACACGTTTCTGCACTTTCAAGAGGACCCTTTTTTCGAAGACTTGCATTGTCATTGTCATTGAGGCATTGGAATTGCAAGACTGGCCTAGTTGTCGACTTGTTCACTTGTTCGCTTTTTTTGTCCACTCAGCTAGTCAGAGGACATCCCAACAATTCCGCGTAGCTCTTCTTGGACGTGTGGAGAAACGCCAGATGAGCTTGACTTGGGGTCCGACGATGGCAGCGGTGTCCCATGTAGCAGTTTCGATGAGTCTGAAGCTGCTCAAGACCTGCACAGCAACGGAAAATGCAAGCCCTGTGTGTTTTTGGCCAGCCGCTTTGGATGCGCTCGCACAGACTGCGCCCAGTGTCATTTGCTCCACGAGCACCGAGGGCGCATTCGTCCTAAGAAGTCCACCCGGAAGGCCTTCAAGCATGTGGTGGAGAAGGTTTTCGAGAGGTTGGAGAATTTGGAGGACACCCTAGTACTGTAGCGATGGCCTCCAACCTAATAGCGATTTGGAGGACACCTTTGGCAAATTTTGGACTCAGATTTGCTGTATCACGTGCATGTCGATAAGAAGGAGTTAGTTGCATTGCGGTATAGAGTTGTCCACGGAATGCCTGAAGCAGGATCTAGAAGAGCAGCGCATTCAACTAGAACGTGAAGCTGCAAAATCGCAATATGCGTGGTCAATGATCGTCGTGATGCTTGATAAGCACCTTGCTTGCAGCATGTTGCAGCTGATTAAGTTTCAGGATGCGTTCAGAAGATGATTGGGGAAGAAGATGTTTACATCATCGTTTACACCATCGCCGACCTGTTGCTGTCCTGTTGGCAGAGCCTGAAAGCAACAATAGCAACAGCGCAAGCAGCCCTGAAAACCATGCAGCACCGGTGCTGAGGTACTATCGTAGAGCTGTCCGATAGGGCACTGGCAGTGCACTGAGCGGGCAGATGCGGGCAGCATGCTGCGCAGGATTGACCAAGTCGGTTGGGTGCAAGACGTAAGGCTTCTTTGACGATGGTTTTTACAGGTTAATGGGAATGATGTAGCGATGCATTTAGCTACGAGTAGCTTCTTATTACTAGTAGTAATATGTAGTAATGCCCTTGTTACTAGTTGTTGGTAGTAACACACCATATAGAAGTAAGTAACTATACAGTGAAAAAGGCAAGAAGCGAAGAAAGGAAGGGTCCCAAGATAGAAACAAGAAGAACAAGCAAGTCATGAAGCAGTCTCTTTTCTAGGGAGAGTGATGTCCACTAGGTTTTGTTCACAGACTCAAAGGATTGGGCAGAAAAGAGATCTCATTTGGTGTACTTTTGTTCCTGCACTGCCAGACATCGGACTGTCAGGACGGGGCATCACCTCACTTTGTGTGTGAAGGAGATGCATTTCTAAGGGCATTTAGTTGAGATGACATATTATAGGTATGTCGTCTGCTTTCGAGTCCTTCTGTCTGCTTTCGAGTTGTTCTTCGAGTTGTTCAGTTTGTAAACTATATCAACCTTTACACCGTACACTGCTGTGTTCCCGCCAAGCTTTTCAACATTCAAAAGCCGATGCACAAGTGAGCCTGAAAGCAGGGCCCGGCCAGCGCATTGTGAAGTCGACAGACTCCCGGTGTAGCGGCAATATTCTCCTGAAAAGACACCGTGTGCGTTTCGAAGCGAAAGAGGTCACCTGATCTGGACCGATGACCGATCCGATAGGTGGACTGATCCGTCTACTCTTCTGTCATTCTGAGTGTTTGTTAAGCTTCAGTTCGAAAGGTCACTGAGGGTATCAACAAGAGTCTTCATTCACTGCGTTTCATGCACGGGATCCTTTTTCCCGTTTTAGGGGCTGACACGGGCCATATATTGTCTCATTATCTAAACACAAAAAAGGGTAGAGGTTGAGAACCGGTCGCCCAAGCAGCTGATTGTAGAGGATACTGTAGCAGATGCAGATAGACTCAACAGCAACTGATGGCCCGATGGCACAGCAAAACATATTTTACGGTGAAGATAGTGAAACGTGATTTCGGCGCCAAGGCCTCTACTTTAAAGAAGTCTATGATCCAAGTCATGGATGCTTCATCAGTGTGAAGGTGCAGATGAGACCAGCCAATGAGCGAGAGAATCTTGATCACAGTATATCACAGTCACAATATAGGTTTGTATTGATGAAATAGGGAGACCCCCGAAAAGCCCCCCCTGGAAGACGGAAAATAGATCAGCTATTGGTTGAGAGGTCTC